GTCCGATTGTATACAAAATTAGACACATTATTGAAACAACACGACTGAACGTCGCCAGCGATCGGGAGAATATGGAGCTGATGTCCTCATTTAGTCTGTCTTACAGACCCTGATACAAATATATATCAAATACAGCCCATGCAAGTCTATAATGTTTGGCAAGTCTAGATTACTGCAGTATCAGGAAAATCAAGAGCGTCACTCGGCTCCCTTTTATTATATTTTTATTAAGATAACTGAACAACTGTTTTTTTCTGTACGATATGTTCATTTCAGAGACTGGATGTTAGTCTAGTCCTCATAAGCAACATTGGAAGCTTCCTGCTAGTCCTTGAGGACCTTTTTCACAATACCTAGTGGATTTGATACTGATGATTCTACAGTTAGGAAAGTAACACACAATGTGTCTTCATGTGCTCAATTTAGTTAACATTCAATTTATTATTCACATATCTGAAGCATTTATAATGATGGGTGATGCGTGGACATATTTGTTGATGCTAGTTAATCTTTCTCAAACTGGCTGTGGTGCCGTCATCAACGGTTTTATGATAAAGGACGATGTTCTCCACTGCGATAAGGATGAGGTCCTCCACTGCGATAAGGATGATGTCCTCCTCTGCGTTAAGGATGATGTCCTCCACTGCGATAAGGATGATGTCCTCCACTGCGATAAGGACGATGTTCTCTACTGCGTTAAGCCGATGTTCTCCACTGCAATAAGGACGATGTCCTCCACTGCGAAAAGCCGATGTTCTCCACTGCAATAAGGACAATGTTGTCCTCTGCGATAAGGATAATTCTCCCGTTGAGACGAGGACGACGTTCTCCACTGCGATAAGGACGATGTTCTCCACTGTAATAAGGATGATGTTCTCAACTGCGATAAGGACAATGTTTGGGACTGCGATAAGGACAATGTCCTCCGCTTCGATAAGGACGATGTTATCCACTGCGATAAGGAGGATGTTCTCCACTGCGATGAGGACGATGTTCTCCATTGCGATAAGGTCAATGGTCACCACTGAGATACAGACAATGTTCCGCACTGCGCTAAGGATGTGTTCCCCACTGCAATAAGGACGATGTACCCCACTGCGATATGGACGATGTTCTCCACTACAATAAGGACGATGTTCGGCACTGCGATAAGAATGATGTCCTCCACTGCGGTAAGGCCGATGTTCTCCACTGCGATAAGGACGATGTTATCCACTGTGATAAGAATGATGTCCTCCACTGCGATAAGGACGATGTTCTCCACTGCGATAAGGACGATATTTGGCACTGTGATAAGGATGATGTTCTCCACTGCGATAAGGACGATGTTCGTCACTGCGATAAGGACGATGTTCAGCACTGTGATAAGGACGATGTCCTCCACTGCAATAAGGACGATGTTCTCCACTGCAATAAGGACAATGTTCTCCACTGCGATAAGGATGATGTTCTCCCCCTGCGATAAGGACGATGTTTCATCACTGCGATAAGGACGACGTTCTCCAGTGTGATTAGGACGATGTTCTTCACTGTATTAAGGATGATGTTCGTGACTGCGATAAGGACGATGTTCGGGACTGCGATAAGGACAATGTTCTCCGCTTCGATAAGGACGATGTTATCCACTGCAATAAGGAGGATGTTATCCACTGAGATGAGGACGATGTTCTCCATTGTGATAAGGTCGATGGTCTCCACTGAGATACGGACAATGTTCCGCACTGCAATAAGGATGATGTTCCCCAGTGCAATAAGGAAAATTTTCGGCACTGCGATGAGGACGATGTCCTCCTCTGTGATAAGGACGATGTTCGGCACTGCAATAAGGACGATTTCCTCCACTGCGATAAGCCGATGCTCTCCACTGCAATAAGGACAATGTTGTCCACTGCGATAAGGATAATGTTCGTCACTGTGATACAGTCACATTAAAATTAGATCTTAGCTCTTGCTACCGCTATTATTAAAGAGATTGCACTGCGATGAGGTCGATGTACTCCACTGCGATAAGGACGATATTCTCGAACCTGCAACCATCCATTGATCCACCCTCGCACACCGACACGCGCGCACACGCACACGGCGATATATGTGCAATTATTTTGAACGCGAGGTTGAACCCCATTTAAAATCACATCACCTATCGACTATCAGTGACGTCAGCTGGTTTCCCTTATCGTTTAAAGCCTACGCAGCCATACTTATTCATTCATTCACCCGAGATTTGCCTTTTAGTTCTGATCCAAAATACTTTTCAATTTGTTTGATATACAAAATGCATTGAGCTCATTAGCCGATTGTTTTTCCATATGAATACATAGGTTATATTCCAAATACATGATGTTTACGAAATGGAAACACACAATGGTCTGAAATGATTGATGTTTAAGGGGCAATTTAAACTCAGTGAAGTAGTTTTCGAAACCACGTATAAACACAATGTGTGAATGAATCGCCCACTTTATCATATAGCGACAAATAAACTTTGAGAAGCCATATATAAGCATATTTGGGAATGTTAGTCAACAGTGTTTTGAGGAAGAAGGCAGTGTATCGATGTACATGTATTGGCCTTGAAAGTAGTTCCTGCGTGACGAACTCATTTGAATATTTATCTGATCGTGATACTAAGTTTATCACTATTATAACACTAGCCATTATATTATAATTACAGTTATCAGGAACAGTTTCGTTTGGTTTACTTCTTCCTGCGTTGACGTTTCGCATTCCCTTTAAACATAACATGGCGGCCTCCTGTGGGTTGTGTTTTGCAGTCCTGGGATTAGCTTGCTGTGTTTGTCTTGCACTGAGTGAGTATGTTTGACAATGAAATTTTTTTCTCAGATTATAAATAAGGACAACAACCTCAACCTCACCACAAATGGATTTGCCATGAAAGAAAACACAAAATCAATTATTTTATTCCTATATGCCATAAATAGAGTCTATTAGTTGCGTGAGATTCCGTATCGTAAATATCACATATCTGGAAAAAGAATTCTATCCTTGGAGTCTGTGGCGGGCATAATACCAACTTCATATTCCCCATAAATCATATATTACGATACGGAAACACACGAAGGGGATAATTTCTTTATGATTTAATGTCATGTTTAAAACAATCGAAGTTTAAGATTTATATATTTCCATACACAAATGTACATTTAGAAACTGTACAAATCCTGAGTGAACCTTCCCATCTGCGATACAGAAACAAAAGACATGCAGTCATGTTGGTTTACACTCACCTAAATTTACTTTTGTGGTATGTTATGTAAAGCCTTTTGACCAAGTTGGCTTCACATATTTGCATAAGTTTATTACAAGTAGTTCCTCCAAGATGACGTCATTTGCATATTTATCGGATCGTGATACCAAGTTTATAGGATTGGTTTATCGCATCCATAACACTGAACTCTATAACACTTTGTGTTATGACCGTTGAGGAACATAGTAATTTGACAAACAATATCATACATATATCTATGAAATATATCTATTTACCCCAAGGGTATTCTGGGAAGACTAGCTCCTCAGTCCAACATGATTCTCCGACTAATGCCGATGGAGTCGTTAAATTAAGCAAATGATGTGTGATGCATTACACCAATGGTTTGCCTGGGCCAGACTCGATTATTAACCGTCGCCATGATGTAACTGTTCTATTTTCCCTCGAAATATAAAGTTAATAGTTTGGGAATTAGGGATATAATATTCAATTGATATTCTTCAATGTGCACTTTGGCAGGATTGTGAAGGATGGTTCAATGTTGGGATCTGGCTCTCGCGAAAGTGTGTTAACCATTCCTGAAACCCAATTCCATTTCAATTCATGGTAGGATACATAAAGTATTTTCATAACTCTTTTATTGTACATATATTATAAGAATTGGTATAGAGATTTAGTAAATAGGTTCCGGAAAAAGTCATTTTTTTTCAATAGGTAGTAGTAAAGTATGGAATACCGGCCACAGGCCACACGTTCCACAACAGTGACGGACATTTACTTATAAGGATCTTACATGAACTCGCTGAACAATACCTCTGGATTTGTATGATGTTATATATATTGGAATTTAATAAATTCAAAATGTCAGTGCAATAAAATTATCAGTCTTGAACATCTGCCGATAGCTATTTTAAAGGACGTAGAAGGCAAAATAGCACTGAAATCAGTGGTGACACCAGGTGTCCGCGATAGGGTAAGCATGTCCTGCTCTACCAGTAGCATCCGCAAATTTCAATAACAATAGTGTGCCAGTGAGTAAGGAGGTGTAAAACTCCATGTAAAGGTTACATTTAGTAAACTGCACCGAGTGTCTTCCAAACACTTTCTACAATGATTTAACCAGGCCTTTGATGGTGAGACGTTGATCCAAAAGTCTAGTAGTAAGCAAATGTGTCTTTCCACGACATTTGAATAGAATATACATGCTCTTAAGTACCTAAGCTAATAGAATTACATTTTTCGAAATTGAGCTCATTTAATCATACTCTACCAACCCCATCATGGCATGACAGATTAACTATGGTAATATGAAAGAATCAGGTGGTCTTTTTTAGTAGTATAGTTGTCTACACGAAACTTTTGCATAGTGATGAGACAGCAACATGTGTGCAATACCTTTCTACCCTTGGCTGTGTCCTGAACAACGGGACCATGCTATCATTAGTATCACCAGGGCCCCCTTGCACAAAGCGATCTCAGCGCTAAGATGATCCTAACTCCCATACTTTAACACAGGCTTACGATAGTCTTAGCGCTAAGATCACTTTGTGCAAGTGCGACCAGTTCAACGTGGCCTAACATAGTGTATCATGATACTAGTATATAGCAACACTCCAAATAACACTGATACTAATGTTGCGCAATTATCTTGATCTCTATTGATTCCGTTACTCAAGTTTCATTCAAAATATAAATGTGTAGCTCTTCATCAACATTTCATTCTCATCAATTGGTGCTCCTCAAAAACATTAAATATCATTGCTACTTGAAAATGGCAAGGCGATTGGAACTGTACACATTGAAACATTCTTTCATGCCACCTGATGCATCATTCCCAAATCATAAGGTGAGATGAGATTATTCCTTCTTACAAACCTGTGGGTGAGAAACCCATTTGAGATAACTGGTATCAAACATATGTGTGAGATGAAATTCCAGGCCCGTGATTGGCTACTCCATGGTGATGACCTGGGGTCAGATGATGACGGACTACTTTCCTGAGTGTATCTCATTCATAAGTTGCTCATGCTTCAGTCGAATGTTCACCTACGTCTGTATTGAACAACAGGACCGTGTAATTAATAATAAAAATAAACAAACTCGTCCTCGTCTGCGAGTTTGTTTGTTATTATTATCAGTTATATTATCTGTTGTTATGTCAACATTATCGTTTTTTAGTGTAACCCCCCTGGATGCCACAACGACACATATGACCCTCCTCTTCAACCCTCACTTCGACATCCAATTAAATTAAAAAAACATCACGCAGACTAATACCCTTCACAGTTTTTAATTCCCCCTTCTGTTTATCATTTACTGTCATTTTAGGCAATTCAAAATTACTGAAAGTGACTGAAAGTGAGGTACATTGAAAATCTCGCCAAATCATAATTCACAGCGTTATATAAAGATTTACTGTGCTTAGAAATCTAAATATCGGATATTCACTCGAATAATTAAAGTAGAAAAATAGCATATTAGCGATCACGGGTATCAAATCACTAATGATAATTCTGTAACGTCGCTGATAAGCCTAGAATCGTTTAGAATGTTTTGGAAAATACGCATACACGAACGCCGAAGTGTACGTTCCGACATATTGGATTGTGTTTACAAAATGCCGGTTATGAGACGCCTATTCGATTAGGTATATTTCAAACTCAGCTGCTATACATGCATCCCTGAATTCCTCATACATTTTCGAAACAATGGTTAAATGGTCTTTGTCACCAATACAAATTATCTAGATGAAATCATGCGAAATAAATTAGGTATGGAAACGAAAACTGTGCTCGGAAAACTGTACTTGCTGAAATGTAAACAAAGCAAAATTCAGATTTTACACTGTGTAGCATTTTTAGAGGTACTTTCGTCTAATTGTTGCATACATTGGCTCGATCACACGTTTGAGAATATTCATGGGAAGAGTGTCGTGGCACTAATTATGGAATTACACATATATACATTACAATGATGTGGTAAATTCAACAGAAGCCGTAAAAGTTTCCGTCCTGTGTGACGCCATGACTGACGCTAAATCACGCACAACGATGACGGTAGTTATCTGCATTTCTCTTTGTTACATTGGAAAACATGGTAAAACAAATAACAGCACGCAGATTGTCAGAATGTTTCTGATTACTTACGTGACACATTTATGTGTATAAGATCCCTCAATCAACGAAAACCTCCTCTGGAAATCCCGCGTTCTGTTGTCAGTGAACAAGCCATTTTGTAAATGTCGGTCACCGGTAGTGATGTCATACGGAAGTAAACATTGTTGTACATATTTGGTCATTTCTTTGAGGTGAAAACTTTCAACTTGGCACCCAGCGTGTTCTTGGTTTTTGTCTAGTTTGCATTTTCATCATCGCCTTGATAATCCACAGATATGACGGAAACCTTTTTGTGTAGGGTCACATTATTTATGAGCAGTAAGCAGCACATAGGATGACGTCACTTATGACAGTGGTGTTATGTATTGAAGCGCTACTGCAATCATCAGAATAGACAAAAATCATCGGTTCGATGCTAAATAGGTGCGATTTTAGGGTGTGTAAGAAACATATTACTGTACTCGTGCCTGTCAGATACCATTGATCTTACAACTCGTTGTTACAAAGCGTGTCTAACTCGCTTTCGCTCGTTAGATACGTTTTGATAAAAACTCGTTGTAAGATCAAGGGTATCTGACAGACACTCGTGTAGTAATCTCTATATATCCAGTTCCATAGCTTGAGTAAAAGACTTTTACCTGTATGTATTACGTGATACTTCCAGAACATATATATCTTACGTTTTGCTATAATACGTCATAAGGCATACACAAAGTATATATTACAAGGAACCAAAACGGGTATACATTCTGGAAGCAATGTCTGATGACACAAACACTCCACCAACAATAAGCTCTTTATATCTACTCTTATTGACTTTTATCTACTCACAGGTACCTGCCCTGCAGGAAAGTTCGGAGACTCCTGCAGCTATTCCTGTCACTGTCAAGGAGGGACCGTGTGTAACTCCACCACAGGAGAATGTCCTGGGGCCTGTGCACTGCAGTGGAGGGATGGGAAGAAACGCATTTGCCAAAGAGGCAAGTTATCGCATTTTGTTTCCAAGAAAGGAGTTCAAACAAACACAACATAGCAATTTTACAAATGTTAATACTTAATATTTTTAATGTTTGACCAACATTTGAAAAACGAATAGAGCGTTAAATAGAGATGATAAGATCGTTAAAAAACAGTAAAATCGCATGGCATCTACATTTCCCAGTTAGGTTCTGTATTCAAACTTCATGGTAAGACAAATGATGCATCAAATCATGCTTCTCAGTCAAGGCATCTACATAAAAGGCCTTGGTAAGTCATTATAGTAGACATTCAGAGCAATTTACTATGTAGGACACGTTGCTTGTCAACATGATGCGCGATGCTATGCCAAACCATGGCCACGCCCTCCCCCCCTTTTTTTAAATTTCGAAAAAAATCTTTATTTCTGTATAAATTACCACCAAAAACAATAATAGTGCACACACACACACACACACACACACACACACACACACACACACACACACCCTTTCAAAAAAGCTGTATCTGCCCATGACCTTTACAGAGCGTTGTCCTGCCTCCTGATTCCTGACCTTTATATGGACCAAGTGTTTAGGTCAGGTGACTTGATGGCGTGGCGTGGTACCCCAATGACGTCATACAAATCACTAGATTGTCTGGTTCAGGCTCGATTAATTTCAGGCTGCAGTCCTATGGCAGGGTATGCTTAATCTTTCGGGAACACCTAAAGGTTTCAGAACTTGATGGCAAAATATTTTAATTCATGAAATATTAATTTCACAATGAGAGAACCTCTTATGCATCTGCTCATTTAACAAGTGGAAGTACAACGATTCAATTATGATCAGTATTTTTCACAAATCTGCTTAGCAATTAACTATTACAATGACGGACATAGATTTAAATATGTAATAATGTTTATTATATCTATGTTCATCTACTATAACCAATATGTTAAATGCAAAGAGATTCCTGTTTCTACATCATGCATACATTTAAACATTAACATATCACCAATATATATCCTTGATACCTACATGGACACAATATATGCTCCTTAATGTGAGGGCCGACATTAGGGTATGCAAAGAGTTAATGCGATGAATTTCCGAGGAAACTAAGGAACATACATTCGCCATTATTTGAGTTTCACCAAATAAACTATCAGTGTACATTTGTATATACTTTTTTCTGTTAATTTCGAATTTTGAACACTGAACGCAAAAGATGTTTATTTCTCTTCAGTAATTTTGTTGAAATCCAAATCTTCATTTATTAACGCCATTTGATAATATGTTTCTGTCCTTGTCGTTCCGGGAATGCCTTCACAGCTATTTTGACCTGTACGCCAGGAATCTGTTTCGGTTTATAATCCAGAGTGGTTATTCTCTTGCATTGACAATATATATTTGCTCAAAATGTTATTGACATGTATTGACTTTACTAACGGTTCAAAGTGCGAAGGATAACATTACTCTGTGAAACATTAAAATCAAGTGGATGTTTTAGACAAGCACACGGTACTTTTAAGGTTATCTGACACAGTGGACCAAATGTTGCCTCTGAAGTTCCTGTAATATAAATAAAAATCAGTTTGCATGGACTGGAGTTATGGATGACCAAAGTACTGTAGAAACATGTGTATTCTACCATGACATTGTAGAACGACTGATTCTCATTGGTTGAAATTTGGTATCTAATTTGCAATTGACACGTCTAAACGAAGCGTGTTCACACAAAGACAGTGCTCATGAATACATCGTTAGCCTACATATCGTTCCATACAAAATGTCTGCCGATAACTCATCAAGATTCTATACGTTTGATATCGGACCATTTTTGGAAACCCACGAAAACACACAAACAAATCTCCCGAAACTTATTGGTACGCGGCATGGTACATGGCCACTTCTGCAACATGCTAGCGTTGAATGACGTGAAATCATGAAACTGACAGGTCACATAATGACGAACACTTCATCTCATACCACGCTGACACGTCGTCAACTATCCTTCAGGGTGGTTTCACGTCGTAACAGCATATGCATTCCCAGTAAATCTACAGTTTAATGTTGAAGAGCATCACAGATAAAACACACGTCATCTGGCTTCATACAGTTTGCTAATAGCGCGGATACTGTCAACAACAACTTTGGCAGCCATCGATAGTGGTGACAAGTAACAGTAACGAATAACAGCGAGAGAGGGAGCAAGCGGACTGACTAAATGATGGTCCCAAATGAAATAACTATAAATGCTAATACTGTGGGGTGTATGACTGTCACACTGGCTAAACATCAGAATCTCTTAAAGATAAAATATACGGTCGCTGCTTAGTTCTTTCAAAAGGGCAATCTAACCACAGAACATTTAGGATTTTAAGTACTTCTGGCGTTCTCTGCTCCCACTCGCACTTTACAATTGATGTAACATATATGTATCTGATTCCAAGGTATCTTCTGCTAAGTTACTCATTGTTTATTTTCTACAATCCAAACTGTGATGATACCTAATCTCAAGCAGATTTGCTGTTTCATGAAGTCCCACCCATACTGGGACAGTATGACAAATAAACAAAGCATTGATGAGTGTGCTGTGACTGACAGATCAGTTACATTGGTTGCACATTGCATAACATTCGAAATATAAAACGTCAACGCCAGAAAAAAATCAGTTTCCACTATTTTGGAGAAATAGAATTCACTGGGCGTAAAAGGCAAAATAGTGATCTAAGTTCTATGAATCGATCACTGACAAATGGTGATGACACCGGTAGCACCCCCCACTCACACAATTAGCATAAAAAGTAAAAGATCTGCGTTTGTTGCCTTACGCCGCACAGCAGTACTCGTGCCATCCGACGGCATTTAAAACTAAATATAACGTTGGTAAAACGCGAATACTACACTGATTCTCATAAGATACATATTTTATGAAGTGAGTGCACCATATATTGTAGATGATCATGCGAACGCTTCGTAGCATACCACTGAAAGTTCGCGAGTTTCGCCAAAATGGTATCTCACAAGAATGAGTCTGATATTGCATTTATTCACGCTAATAAAGTATTTAAAAATATAAAATAACGCGAAAACGGTTGCACATCTGGCTGCGCATGGGCATTGATATACGCCCTGACAAGGGCATTGTTAACATTTCTATTCATACGCAATAACAAAATGTTCGGGTTATTGTGTCTGCAAACATGATTGCAGCAATGCTCAGGACGTTCATTTAAGAATTGTTTGAGTGATGCTAATTCAAATGCATAGTTGTGTGTATGCAGAACTGTAAGAAAACCTAAAAAGTCAAACAGCAACGCTCTTTGAACCCACAGTCGATCACCACCGTAACCTGGTTGAGCAACCATCATGGTGCGGCTCCTTAATCTATGAGCTGAAGTTATATTCTGTCCATACCATTTGAACGAACGGAATTTAGAGTGTTGGCCAAAGACTGTTCCTTTACTGTAGTGAAAATCAGCAAACTGCTAAAAACAGAGGGAAAGTCTACACTATCAGAAATAGGAAATACAAACGTGATCTAAACACAACATGTTAGGCTAGAGATCAGTAGGGAATGTTATTGTTCACCTTTGTGATGTTTTGGGCCACAAAATCAGAAGTCAGGCACGCTTCCGTGGACATTTTGTTATGATTTGTATCGGGACTTTGAGTGATGGGATTGTGCAGTTGTGTATATTCATTCACATGCAAACACGTTTGGAAACAGTGCTACAAAGTACGCTTCGAAGAAGACACTTATGGGACAGACGGAACATCCAACGTAAGTCTAGATATCTGTCCAAATATACTGATGCGCCAAAAATTCTTTCTTCTTTTAAAACATTGATTGTTTCGAATCCTGATGAGTTTTTGAAATCTGAAAACATTCGCCCAAACACTATTTGTCTGTCCAACATTACTGCGAAAATATTTTGCATTCCGTTGGTAAAACTTGTTTTTCGGACCCAACACAAAATGCAAGTGCATTGTTTTTAAATATATAGGTCTAGACAACAGTTTCATGTGCTAAATACAAAAAGCATCCAAAAGAAATGCCAAATTAGAGAGAGAGAGAGCGCCATTGGTATGACGAGAGTGGGAGTATCACAGACCCATATTGGAAGAAACCATTCTGCAGCCAGACAATTCCAGGCCACATACTACTCGAATTGTTCAGGATTAGCATGCAAACCACAATGTTCATGTTCTGCCATGACCGGCATGTTCCCCGGGTATGAACCATATTGAACACTTTTGGGACCACTTGGACAGACAACTTAGAAACTGGCAACACCCCCTAGCCAATAGAAATCAGATAGAACAAGCTCATTTAGAGAAATGGCGCTGAATCCCCCATGACGTCATCAGGAGACTGACGACATCAGCACGACGACGTGTATTGGCATGGGACGCACAAGGACACACGATATTAGGCACTAGAAAATCCTCAAAAGAACAACATTTGGAGCTCTACAATAAACCTGTTATTTCTATGTCATTTTGGACCCCACATGTTTTCAAACCTCATTTCATAGAGGTTCATTATTGTTTGGTTTACTGTTTATGTAATGTTATATTATGCAAGATTAAATATTCTAATACGCTGGTTTTGATAACTATATTTGTCTTTGATTTTCTTTAACTGGCATAGTTGGAAGTTTCTTTCGCCCGTCAGTGTAGTTCAAACAGATTTCATCTCTCGCAACGACAAGTTAACATTAAAAAGTCGTAAAAGTGGTCGGGTGCATAACGCCAACAGGCACCACGGTCTATATATATTCGTACATGGCAAATGGATACGGCTCAGTTATATAATGTCTGTAGTTCATGTACATCTATGCATAACTAGTTTAGAATGTAAACCGAATTCGATGCCTGTGACGATATTGTTTGTTTTAGTAAAGAGTTAATCTAGATAAGTTTCGACATTGTTTATGGATGTGAAATATATTTCAGCGTGACGTTAACGAGGTCACAGTACTCCTATCAAAAAGAATATAACGAGGTCTCCCTTGTACG